TTGTAGCGAGGTGGGGGTCGGTCTCTTCTCCCTAGTAACAAGTGATAGGACAAGAGGAAACAGTGTCAAGCTGTGCCAGGGGAGATTTAGATTGGAAATCAGGAAGAATTTCTTCGTGGAGAGAGTGGTTAGGCACTGGAGCATACTGCCCAGGGAAGTGGTGCAATCACAGTCCCTGGAAGTATTCAAAAAGTGTGTGGATGGGGTACTTAGGAACAAGCAGGTGGACCAGGCAGTTAGTTAGGTTAACGGTTGGACTCGATGATCTCAGAGGTCCTTTCCAACCTTAACGATTCTATGATTAAATTGTGTGAGACACAAATGTAATTGCAGTTGGTTTTAAGTGTTGATTTGAGAAAGAGAGAAAAATCTACACTGTACTGCAGAATTCTATAAAATTACATGCATTCACATACAAGGACACATGACAAAGTGTTTTATTAAAATAAAAAGCTTTAATACTTTTGCATTTAAAAGATTTAGCAGAAAATAATTGCTACAAACATGCTACAACAACATACATGTTCAAAAAGTTTTCAGTGCTTTCTTTCGAAGTTTAGCATTTTGGCAAAAATAAGTTTTTCTGTATATACTTCAAAAGTTGGCTATCATAATACTGATATAAAATACTTCATGTAGACTAAGGTCAGGTGCATAAAATACAATAAGTAATAAAACACACTGTTTGTATAAACATTTAAAGTATAAATTTCATTAGATAACATGCAAATACTGCAATATTTTAAATGGCACTTAAATATAGATACTGAGATTCTTTATAATTTTGCATCCAATATGAGATTCTGAAATGTACAAAACTATAAAAAGAACATACTTCTTCACTGAAGTCAGGTACTAGTATAGAGCTTGATTGTCATTTTACAAGCATTGAGCCCCATGTCCTGCAAATCTTCACTAGTCCAAGTAAAGACGTCTACTGAAACAGGCTCAGGGCTAGTTAGTTTTCTTCATAATAAAATATGAAAGCATATTTACATGAGAATAAACTCTTAAATTTTTGGTAAGGTAATTAAGTAGCAGCAATTTGTTTCTTCAAAAAATGATGTTTAAAATAGGTGCATGCTTTTTGCTGTCACTGATATCCATCTGAATAATATAAAATTAACATTCTTCAATAAATTCAAACCACTATTTTGTTCATTGCTGAAAAAAACCCCTGTAAGATCCTTTCTCGCAAAAATCATAAATCCATAATGTCAGAACCTTCCAGAGTATTTTTGTGTTTCCAAGATCAATGGAAAACAATCTAATTGTGCTGAAACAGTCATCTGACTAGTAATGAATAAAAGAATCTTCTTTTCACATTATTCCAAATACTTTTAGTTCTTCATTGAAAAATATTAGTTGATCAAATCTTCTACAATTTTTGTTTTCCGATTCAGTGATCAACAATTCTATATGTCCTTCACAATATAAAACACCGCAATACTCATGCGTATTTTCTAAGCAGTTAGATAGAATATATTAATCCTGACAAGGTGAATAAAAGGCTTATGAACAGGGAGTGCAGAACAGGCACCACTTTAAGAGAAGAAGAAGAAATACTAAACGAAACTTGTACTTGAGATGCAATTAGAGCTGACAGCGGTACGTGTGATGCTAGTGTTGGACTGTCTGAATTTATCAGTGACTCTATCTTTTCTGCTTCTTTATTGCAGGCTTCAATCTAAGGAAAAAAAAAGTTATTATTTCTCTTCTTGCCATGTAAAATGCCAATGCACAAATGTTGCTAGATAGCATAGTTCAGGAAAGAAAATCTGAGTTATTCCCATCAGCACATAAGATTTATATAATTTTGGGGAGTATTCCTTAGAAAATATATTGGAGCTCTTATCATAGACTTTGGTACTGTGCAAACTACTGTGGAAGCCCTGAGTAGTAGCAAAAGGGAAGGAAGAAAGCTACGTCCAAGTTATCGTGGGTGATGTGTTTTGAACGTTGATGCCAAAAAGCTCACAGTCAGTTATAACTAAAGTAAGTACCTCTAAAACTGAGGACTTCCTTCCTGATTGACCAAGATACTGCCTTGAAGTCTGCAACAGTGGAAAAATCACGATTTTCTACTTATTTGGCTGCTTCTTCCAAATCAGGGAAAACTGATTTCTTTTATAGGAAGAGAAGAATGGAAGTAATAGGATAACCTGAGAAAACCCAGATTTCCAGGTTTCCATTCCCCCACTGACATGATGATAATTATGAATTTATGTTAGAAAATCCATTTTTTCCACCTTACCTTCTACTGCAACCCAGGAATCAATCTAGTACTAAGTCTCTTTAACAGCTTTAGAAGCTGCCTCTGGTGACGTTTCAACTTAATAAACTTAATATCTGGATGCCCAAAGCTTTGAAAGTTGAGGAACTTCTAGCTCAGCAGCGGGTGTCACCAGTGAGATGAGCAGCTCCTCTCTAGTTTCAGGTGGCCTCTCTGATTTCAGAGAGTCCTCCTCTCCCCAGGAGTCCGGCAGCACCTGCTGTAGATTGAGTGAGAGCTGACCAGACTGGCAAGGCTCAAGACCTTGTTTCCTAAGTCCTGGTAACATTTTGAGCTATTTCTGCTAAAGAAGGAGACATAAGTTGGAGCTGTGTTGGACATACCAGGATTGCTCCAGTAGCATGGGCAAGCAAAATACACACAATATATCTGCCCGAGAGACAACTACCCTATTAGATACTGCAGCTTGCAAAGTTTATGGGAGTGATTCTATCCCCTCACACTATACCATAACTTTAGCCCATCCCAGAAGCAATACTGAGCATGCAAAATTAGACTGCAGAAATAAAAGGGAAATGGGAAGCAGCCATCAATATAAAATAAACAACAGAGAAATGAACCTGCCTGAATTCTGTTTGTATTGTAAAAGCTAAGAGAGAGATTGAGGGCAGGTTTTCTCTCCCCTTCCTTTTCAAAGCTGAATCCTTCATTTTACACTAGTACACATCAACATGTCAGGTACCAGAATGAACCAGTCGGAGCACCTAATATCCAAAGGGACTTCATTATAAAGTGCTATCAGCAGGGCCAGGCAAGACTATTAGAAACAACTATAAAACGGCAAGGAATTATGTTCTGCTTAATAGGAAGAAGATATCCTCACAGGTCTTGCACAGGTTAACATGCAGAAAGTAAAAATGAAGCAACAGCTCCAAGACAATAATAATGCAATACATAGCCAAAGCCTTGCTTCCATTGCGCTGAACGGCTTCTAAGAAAATACTGTAAGAACTTTGAGCTGCATTTGTTGGTTTACCTTTCCAGTTTAGTACTGTGAGTGTTAGGTTCTTGTTTGCTAGCATGAACTAGCTATGACACAGCAAGCCGGGCAGCTTATTGGAATGTTATTTCCTTTTTAAGGTCCTAATAGCATTTTGGGATCTCCCAGCACTTTTTACCGTAAGGCAGAAAGGAATCTCAAAACCAGGATGGTCTCAGAATAGTATCAACAGATCCTCTTTGGTATGAACTACTGCTTAACATCAAGACATGCACAATGTTTTAATATGATATCAATATGTATGATGTGCTTCAGCCTAGTATCACATATACTTCAATTTACTTTTAACCATTACGCTGGCAACAAAGGAGTACTGTTTCGTACACAGGTATGCATTTAATATACAATTATTATTAATTTAAGAAGTCATTAGTAATTTATTTTCGTCAGTTTATATTTTCTGTTATTTTAGCCATAGTAAGTTGAGGGTTCTACATTTATTAATTTTAAAGTAAAAATCATACTACTCTATCCTTGGCCTTCCTTCACCTCCCTCCTCTAATTACCGACACTCAAAAGCCTCTTATCAGAAAACCAGGATTCTCAAGACACATTTTACCATCCATACTATTATGATGTCAGTCACTAGAGAAATCCCCGTGTATTCAGTACACAGGAAAATGCACAATTTTAAAACTGCTATATTGAACATAGTAAAGTGTACACATATAAAAATTAAGTAAATCCATGCTGGGTAAACAAAATAATAACATAGTCTACCTGCAACGGTTTGGGGTTCTGATCCACAGGAATGATGAGAATCACAATTTCAGATTCTATGCTTAAGTATCCAAACACATCACACTGTGGCACTGAGACATGCAGGCGGATTTTTTCAAGTATGTCAAGTACTGTTATAGGCTTTTTATTTGTTACCTGGAAGAAAACAAAGAACTTCATGGATGATGTGATATTATGCAAAATTACATTTCTCCTCTTCAGTTTTAATAACTTTATGTCATGCCAGAAAATTTGTTCCAGCCATTAAACTACTCAGTTCTAACCTCTAGCAAAAAACCCACAAAACCAACCCCCCAAAAACATTAAAAAAGTGAAAGGAAGAAAAATGTTTTACGTCTTAAATTAACCATGGTTTTGATATGTGGTGTTCTCCACCTTCATGGTTAGTGTGTATATGTATCACGTACCTCAAAATAATGTAAATGGTTATCTGTTACAGCAGCTTGTACTCCCATGCTGCGAAACAAGAGGCAGAGCAGCCCTACCAGCTGGCACTCCTTTACCATCAAAGAACCTGTTCCAAGAGCCACCAGAAATGAAGAGCTATGGCTTTGTGAAGACAGATATATGTCTGTATGTATGGGAACATGTGACATTTCAAGATCACTACATAATTCCCAGGTAAATATATTTTTCTCTTAAAATTCTTATCTCTATTCTGCTGTCTGTATCTGACAAACAACAATTTGATTGTAGATGCTCAGTCTATTTAAGGACTGCTACACCTTAAAGGTTTTTCACCTTTTTTCCAGGTCACTTCTGGATGTGTTGAACAGTATAGACAGCAACACAAATACTTCGCATGTGGCTTCTGGTCATTCTGTTGTGTTCCGATTTCTAGCTTTAGTTGCAAGAGATCCATCCTTCTTATCCTACTGTAGCTTTGTTTCTTTTAAGACCACTGGTACAGGACCTTAACAAATGGAAATCTGGGAAATCCAAGTAGACTACATGGATCAAATTTGCAAGGTGTCACACTACACTACTTCTACCAGATCTTTGAGGGATTTCCTTGTCATAGCCCCATTAAAATGTAGTCTGACATGCTGACTGATCAGCAAACCCTGTTCACACAGTCTTAAAACAGAAGCACATGGATACTGTAAGGATGACCAATAGCGTCAAACTTGGATTTTAATGTCTTAGATTAGAAATCTAGTAGAGTAGATTAGAATCTTAGCAGATCTCTAATGTTTCTTTGCTCTGTGTAGATGCTGACTTTTGTTTCCTGCTATCTTTACAAAAAAGGCCAGAGCGGTGGGGGAAGAAAAAAAAAAAAAAGTCAGGTTTATAGAACTTCTCAGTAATTGAAGCAGTTTTTTCCTCATACGAACCACCTGTCTGAACTAAAACAGGCATACATTACTACTCCTTGCCCTCTTGGGTTGGTTAAAGTGTATGCTAGCATTTCTAGCAATGATTCCATCTATCTGAGACTTAACCATCTCCAGGACAATACATGTATACACTATATGTACACATACGCTGTCAAAAGCAAGAGCTGCGCACCAATCCCATAGTTTTATTGATGGAATCAGAGGAGGTCAATGTTATTAACATTAATTTCATGTAGATGACAAAATTATCAAATCTACTCAAATACAGAGTTGGGCATCTCCTATTGTATTATTAGGAGATATTAGCAGGCCTCTGATTGACACTGGTGTAATAAAGGCACAGAGCTTCTAACTCCCTGTGCTCAGGGTAGTCTCACACCATGCACAGTCTCCAGGTGGCTGTGACCAGTTAGAGAGCATCTCTGGGGGCTTATTCAATGGCCCCTGATTGAAGTTTCCAAAAGAGAGCTTCAGTCAAGCTTCTGTAATTTCAAGTATGTGCTAAGAGAATGCTGCCTTGAATGATTGAGAGTTCACGTATTTTAAATGTAAAGATATATATATTTATATATATGAGTTCTGAAAACTTGAAGATTGTGTATTGTGACGTTAGGTGAGCAAGAGAAGAGAAAGTCAGCAAGACTGTGGTGACAAAGGGAACTAAAAAGAGACGGGAAAAAAAGCAACTACTAAGTACCCTAACCCAGGTATTAGGGTACTTAGTAGGTAAGAGGAGTTAAGTTATCACCAACTAGTTGAATAACTGTTTGAGTAAGTCCAATAAATTTCTAACTAGAAAGCCTTCTTGTAACTAAAACTAAAAAATTCTTCTTCCCAGCCACGTGTTGTAATGTATGAACCGAGAAGCTGCAGTGGTCACTGTGTCCCTGGTACCACTAGAGATGACAACTGGAAGACATTCTAGGATGCAGCCATGACCTAACTGACACTGTTACTCAGCAAAATTGGTCAACGCACACACACACGGCACACACAAACACAAAATGCCTCAGAGGACATCAGCAGAACATCAATCAGCAGCACACCTTTGAGATGAAGGCCAATCACACACTGGGCTGCAACAGCAAGAACAGAGCCAGCAGAAGTCATTGTCCCCCTTTATTTACAGCCCTCCCCGGCCACACTGATGAACTAGAGGGAGTCCAGCAGCATTCAGCTTGTGGAGTCTCCACTCCTGGAGGTTTTAAAAACTCAGCTGGCCAAGCTGATCTAACCAGAGTTAACCTTGCTTTGAGCAGGGGGTTGGACTAGACCCCTCCAGGGGTTCTGTTCAAGCTGAATTTTTCTGTGTTTTTACAATAATAGCTAATTCTCTCTACTTCTAAACATATAAATAGGTTAATGTAATTTTATACTGTTTGGGGGAAATTCTCTTTCTTCTTGATATTTAAAAAAATAAAAATCATGTGCAGATGCAAACATGAATTGTTTTGCTTCACTAGGCATGATTGTCATATTACCCTATTTTGATGTGATGTCGTGCCAAAAATCAAGCGTTCTGCCCTGTTCCATATACTGAAGCATAAAAACAGGGGTCAATAAAGTGCAATTCTTTTCTACACCACATGGGGAGTCTGGGCCTAGTATGTTGTGTTCAGTGATAGACAATGAACATCAGAAGATCCATCTTACACTGGAGGTTTTCAAAGAGCAGCAAGGAAGGATGCTGGTGCCTAACTTAGATGTTAAATTAAAACCCAACATTTTAGCTGATGAGCAACAAAATCAGTGACAACTATCTAGGTAACCCAAAGAGTGTAGTAAAACAATCCAATTTAAACGTAAGAATTGCAGAACTAAGTTACCTACATTAGGAAATAGTGAGCTAGCAGAATAATCTTAACAAAAAGGCCATAAATAACAAATATGTGCTGTATTACTACCATGAGATAGATGCAGTTCCCGTATCATTTGTCTTTACTATTACAAGTCACTTAAACCGCAAGCCTGAGAGTGCTTGTTTGTGTCTACTCTAATTCTGTTTTGCTTTGCATTGCAATTGAATTTCTATACCTGATATTAAGAAATAAAGGAAAATATAAACAGTATTAAAAAAAAAAATCAAATCACACACTATCTACTGAAAAATAGTTGGTTTTATAATGTGTTAACTTTTCAGGAGAGAGTATACAGTAACTTGACTTTTCCATGCACCATTTAACGTAAGGCATGATTGAACTACTTACCCTTGCAAAAGTATCCAGCTTGTCTTTGTCATATAAGATTCTCAGCATTCCAGCACAGAGTGGACAGCAGGCTCCTATGTGAATAAAAAAAAATCTCAGAAATAAAAGCAAATAGTCTCTTCACTTTTAAGTAAGCAGAGGTCAAAAGTTGAACGTTAACTGAGAATGAAAATAGCAAAACTACCAAAGCAAAGTAAATCTTTCAATTTGATAGCAGAATTGCACAATTTCTAAGTTTTTTTTTTAATGTTGAAAACATTTGTAATGCAAAAGCAGTCATCTTTACACACACATTTACTACTACCAACATGAAGCAACAAGATGAATTTTCATTTGTTTCAAGATGATACATGATTGTAAGCTAAAAACCACAGGCAATTTGTGTACTACAAGCCAAGGTTTTACATGGATGCATGCATATGCAACTACAGAAACGATGAATTTCAAGAGCTGAAATAGCTAGGACACGACAGAAGCAATTATGCACACTGCAAACATTAATTTATGCAGTTATACCATGTTGGAGTTTAGAATCCTTATATAATAAGGGGGGGAAAAGGATTTGTCTGACAGATTCATGTTTAACACAGAAGTATGTCATATTTCTCGTGCTGTTTTTCCTCACTATCTCAGAAACCAAAGGGCAAATATTTCAACTTTCTACCCATGACTGTATATTTAATTCACCCTCCAACTTATTATATGTAATTCACATTCACAGAGTGACTTTTACAATATTAAATGTAATACCAAAGCACAAAGACACCTTTTCAAACCAGTGAATGAGAAAAATGCGTAAAACTGTTTCTTTTTAAAAACTGAGCTTTCTTCGCTCTGTGTATTACCTGTGATTGGTTACTGACTGTTTCATAAAGGAAGTATTTGTGAAAACAATAAAAAACACAGTTCAAAACAGCACAACTGCAAAACTATTCCTACTGTCTTCCTCTTTCACAGTACTGTAAATACATATGGTATCTTACTCTGTCTTCTAATTAAATATAATCTTTGTTCTTCTGGGAACTCAACTTTGACGATAGTTTGGCATTCCAGTGCGGTATCTGTGCTGCCACTTCCGAAAAACTACTCATCCGACTCCCAGTGACATTCTACCCTAGACACCACAGACCTCATTCGTTTCTCCCAAACCAGTCCTATGGGGACAGCTGCAAGTTTCTAAAGACTGAAGGAGCGTGACTCCTAAAGCCCAAACCTTTCCACTTCAGAATTACTCGGCGGAGTCCTGATACTAGCTTGTTCTAGCCCTAAGTAAAGACCTCTACTTCATCCTTTCTCTTAGATGTCCCAAAGACATAATGGAAGACTATTTTAAAACATAAGTTTTGTTCCAAATATACACCTTTTTATACACGTAAGCCTGAAGACTCTCTCCTATCTGCAGTAAACTTCAACAATGAATTAACATACCTGGTGCAATAACTGGTTTGCAGCCAGTAGCAGAAAGCTGCGGACATTTAACAAAGGCACACTCTGTATGAAAACCGTAGTCTGAGAGAACACCTACAGCCTGACAGTGTCCGTAATAGTCAACAGCCACACGGTCGGAATAGGCAGCACAGACGCTGCTGTAGGTTTCCCCGTTATGTCCACATACGGGTTCCGCTGATTTGCAAAATGGCTGAAACACACAGAAAGGTTTCAAAGATCAATTTATTCACGCTGCAGACAAAGCTTCAGAGTAGTTTTAACATTAGGAAAACCAAAGTTAATGGGAATTCACTGCTAATATTGTCAAACATTCAAATCTAGGAAAACATTAAAATTAAGGAAATCTAGAGTAAATAACTTGCCAGATTATGAACGGGTAACAAATGCAAAGAATAAGTACTTAAAGAAGGTGACAGAAAAATGTAAGTTGGAATCTCTGAAATGTACAGTAAGACATGTTTTGGGAAACAACAATTTTTGTTCTGTCCTAATGCTTAAATATAATGACCATGTCATTTAAATTAACTTACTTATTAAATGAATTAAGATTATAATTATATTATGTAATAAAGTATTATTTTATTAATAAAATTAAATAATACAATATTTGTGATTGTAGTATTTATTGATTAATATTTTAATGACTTATTAATAATTTATTTATTCATTCCTCTCAGTGTATTTTTGTGTTCTTAAAATGTAGTGTGTGTGTGTGTGTGCATGCTAAGGCACCGTCCCTGGAGGTATTTTAAAGACGTGTAGATGTGGCGCTTAGGGACATGGTTTAGTGGTGGACTTGGCAGTGTTAGGTTTACAGTTGGACTTGATGATCTTAAAGGTCTTCTCCAACCTAAATGATTCTATGATTCTATGTATTTCTAACACATTATTAGAGAAGCTAAATGTATACATTTATTTCAGAAGAATAAAATCCATTACTAGATACCTCTGTCAAAAATATATTTATTGTTGAGACCTTTACATGTATAAAAATGCATTTATTGTGTCCATTTTCTCTCAGAAAAACATATCTCGCATGTCATTTGTTTCAAACACATGTAAAAATCACAGAAAATTGTAATATAGTTTCTTCCTATCCTGTTTGTGCATGTATATTAGTCCAACACATTCAAGAGGTCAAATGCCCATAAATTTAAGCTTCTGAACATGGACAGAAGCAAATGGAATTGCTGACTCTTTGCAGACAAGGTATGACTAATACTTTTGTCCAAAGTCTTGTGAAATGACGCAACTCATTCCATAATTTCTTGCTAAAGTCTAAATGTTTTATTAAACTAACTAATATTTCAAGTAAGTCAACATAGCTATACGATCACTGTATATCCTCTAAAATAGCAAGACAATTACAGTTTCCATGTTACGCACCTAAGCTAACAACAAAACCAAGGAGAAGTAAATGTGAGCACCCCAAATAGTTTCATATCTTGCAGTCACCTTCCCTATAAAAGGAAGAGTGAAAACTTAAAGCTACCAGTGTCAAAGACTTTGTGAACATGGATACAACTAGACATATAACTGCTGGAGAAAAAAACAACAGCCATGAAATATTCCTTTGATTCTTACTGTTCAAGGGCTGAACATTCTCTGAGTATCTCATGAGATATCTGATATGCAATGAGAAGAATTAGCTGTACTTAACGAGGTTGCTGAAAAAGGGCAAGAAAAAGAAGGTATAAAGACAGAAAGGCAGAAACTAAAAGTGGGTGAAAAGAGCAATAGCATTTATAATACAGAGAAACCCTGAAAAAATGGTCTGTACTTCTAAGAATACCCATCAGTTGAGACCAAGAGAAGGTCTCAAACTAATCTTCATCTTTGAGAAAAACCTGGAGATGAACAGCCTATCAATGGCAAAAACAGCAACTTCGAAAAGAGTAGCTCCTGACTTTTCTTGTCAAGCAATAGAAATAGCTTCTCTACTAACATTGTAGGGAGCTGTGGGATGGAAGAACTAAACCTAATCCTAATCCTTCTCAGGGATTAATATGAAGACTAATCCAATCCAGGCCAAAGAAAGAAAATATTACAGACTGCCTAGTCTCCAACAAAACTTAGGTGTAAATAGATCCTGAACTTGGTAAACCTGGGGCACAATCACACGAACCACTAGACACTTTCTATGACCAGGCATTAATTTTCATTTAAAACTAGTTTAAATTGGTGAAAACTAGCATTTAACTAAGCAAGGAACTGCACTAATTACTGCAAACATACCTCAGTGCAAGCTTTAAGAGTGAAAAATATAGGAAGACTTAATATAAATATCAGAGTATTATCCCCAAGAAAGCATAAGTAAAGCTTTTGATTGGTTTTGAGACGACTGTTGACTAAAGCAGAGAAATGCTTGACAAAATTCTGAACATAATTTTGTAAAAGTATTTTTTATACTAGTGAAAATTACCTTTTTAAAGGATTACTTTCAATGAAAACATTTTGTAAGCTATAAAAACCAGAACATTGCAAAGCTGAACATTAAAGAAAAAAGATTTGATATTTATTGACAGAACCACTTCCTACCTGGCACGGTCCTCGGTATGCTAAACTTTTTCCTTTTTGGTACAAACTACACAAGTTACTGTATTCCATGTTGTCTGTGTCACAAACAGGATCCCGTGTCTGGTCACAATTTAACTGCCTTGGCACACATTCATGCTGGCTACATTCAAACTTTCCAAAACTAGTCAAGCAAACTTGTTTCTTTGGTATGCACCTGCATAAAAGTAATAATTTCATATCATGTCATCAGATTTTTTTTTTAAGTCTCAAAATATTCAGGGAAAATATTTTCAGTGAAACCTTTTCCAGTGCTTTAGAGCTAACTATGGTTCAGCAGAGCTGCAGAAAATACATGTGATAAAACATTCTGAATTGCCAATTTCAGGTGTCATCACAACCCTGAAACTGGTTCACACTATGTTTAGTCAGTGTATGTGAACACAACTACAGTTTCCACTAAAATTAATCTTTTACCAAGCATTTTTCAATGGATTTTTGAAAAAGGCTTGGATAAACTTCTTAGCTACTCACAGGCTTCATTTTGTAAATGCATATTTAAGGAAAACTAGAGGAAACATGAAAACAGTGAACTGCAAGAGAAAAAGATTATATTGCAGAGGTCTAGCTTTACCCTTCCTACACTTCCCAAGGTAGTGAAAACAAGACTCGCAAGATTATATGGTTTCAATTACAAATATCTAATTGGTTTCTAGCTTTGTAGGTTCAGTATATTATACCACATCCAATCTTGAGGATGACTGCAAACAAATGGAAAAATCTAGTATTAACACAATTTCCTTTTTTGGCATGTCATCCCTTTCAAACCTTCAGATAAGAAGTAGAGAGCAATAAACAGCAGAAATTCTTTCCCCTTTATGTTAAATATGTACTTTCCATGGTCTTATCTGCAAAAGATTTTCCATATATGCTGCAAGACATCCCTCTGCTAGAGAAATGCCAGCCAACAGAGTTTGATGAATAGACTGATGAAAGGCCAAATGGCTTTTTTAACAATCTCCTCCTCCTATAGGTGACTACAATGCTACCGCTGGATTAGGTACAATACATCCTTATTCTCTCCGAGTGCTGCGGTCCTATGCATTACACATTTTCCTTTTCTATTAGGGAAGACTTAGAAATTCTGAGATTTAAACACTTCACAAGTGGAATGTAAGATCTTAAATAGATTCTAATCACTTCAGAGATGTTTTAAAATGAGCATGTTTAGTTTACGTGACATTATCAAACTGACCCAGAAAAATGTACTCTGTACAGCCCTTTACTGAAAGTTGAGCTTCTAAGCAAAATGGTTATTCTGTAAAATTGAAAACCTCTCTATACTTTCCAAATTAAAAATATAAAAGGTAAAAAAGTGTACATCCACAATGCAGCTTTAAAATTCCAGTTTTCAACGCCATAACGAGTATTGCAGCTACAAACCTACAGTGTTTAGTCTGCAGTTTTCTGCATCAAGGCATTTAAAGTGCAGAAAAAGGAAAAAAATAAAATTGCTATAATCAGTTTTCATGAAAGCACAGTATTACACAACTTCTTATGGTGGCTTTCTTTCAAAATAGAAAAATGTACAAATTCAAAGGAGACTGCAGTATTGCACAACACTGAGAAAATTGAAGGCAGAGACCACTATTATGAGCCACAGACTTTGATTTCTGTAAGAAAGGTCAGGTTTTCTTTTCTCCTGACACTAGTACAGAGCATATTTTTGTTTTAATATGTTCGTCTATACAGATTTTGTTTTTTTCTGACATGGAAAAAACAGAGATTGTACAGACATGGTTTTCACAAGATACCAATCTAATTAAGAGAAACCCAAGTCTTCCAGAGTGATCGATATCTTCCTGTTTTAGAGATAAAAAGCACAGATTATTGACGGAATAAGCAAGACTGAATCCAAGTCTTGAATTCAGGTGTGAGTTTAACTACTAGAGGAAGGTGTGAAACAAAGCAGTAAAATGATACTTACTGCTATTTCAACAAAATTCGATTCTCCCATTTTTGAAAGTATACATCAGTTCTCTTTTATCGCTAAAACTGAGATCTGCATAATGACTTTAAACAATATAGCACTACATAAACAGAACCAAGAACTGGCAGTTATTACAGTCCATTACTATGATAAATAAAAAGTAGCTACTTCAAACAGCTATTTTTATTGGAGTATCCCAAAAGTAGAATGTTACTACAATATACAACACACAAAGAAAAAGTAGACCTGCTTCACGAGTAGATGATGCCAAAGAAAAGCTTAAAAACATATTCTGCTTTTACCTCTGATTTTTATTACAAGGGTTAGGGTTACAAGGATCCTTGGAAATGCATGATCCAAATTCAAATTGATTGTCCTGGAGCCCAACACAACGAGCTATACATGCACTTGGATAGGTGCGTCCATTTTGACCACATACTGGTACAAACTGATCTACACAGTTACATGGTAAACCTGTAAAAGCAACACATATAACAGGAATTTGGTGCACACTTATTTTCTATGACAGAAGATAAACAAGGGGTCAGTAAGGTATCTTTGCCTTCCAGCAAATGCAAAGATGTGCCATATCTTCAGCCACTTCCTCCCTCCCGTAGCTTAGCCACGCTGTAGCACATATGCACTTATAAGTCGTAGGAAGGGAAGTTTGTGCCCTGCCTCCTTGCTAATTCTACTCACCTTTCTCCATTTTTTCCCCAAACTCCTTATCTCTTGTCCCCAGTGGCATTACCCCGTCTCTGCCTACTTTTACATATCACCTGAGGTTTTATTTTTCAGTACTGATTTTTTTTTTTTTAAAGGTATGTGTTTTTTCTAAAGTGCAGGTTGGACATGAGAAAAATAAATAATTAAAAGAATATATTAATAACAAATTATCAGGTATTTTCCATTAATACTGTAAACAAAATTTAGAAGCTAATCCTCACTAAGAATACAAAGCCTACAGTTTCCATAGTTTGGAAGGTTACCTGTAAACTTCCGACGTTCATCTTCTGAACTATGCTCAGTTAGACACTGACGCGTAGAACATATCAAGTTTCCAGCAAAACATGAACAGACATTACAATCTATATTAAAGGATGTTCCATGGCCTTAAAATAAAAGAAATTAGATAAATGCATACAATTAATGCAAATATACCAGAAGACTATATACTCATATGTATTACATAGATATTACACGTTCAATATTAATGGTTCCTCTAATTTCCCTCATTCAGTTTCTTTTCCCATTGAAATGTCTATCTTTTGTTAGATTTCAAGTTTTGTTTATTCACTTAAAGAAGTCTGTTCACATGTGTTTTTGATTAATTAGTTAATCAAGGAAGCAAGCACTTTATCCTTTCAAAGTCTGTATAAGATAGGTTTTCTTTTTAAGAACAATTTAAAGCTGCAAAAAGACATAGCCTCAGAAAACAGAAGCAGCATAGTACATAGTACTTTTATAAATTCTAGCTAGCAAGCTCCATATTTTTAAAGGTAAACATTTTGTAAAGACGCATTCTTCTCCTAAATTAATTTTACATAAGACTGCTAAACTTTCAGCCATAGTCTCATACACAATGCAAAACTCCTCTGTAGTGCTCATTTCTTTCTTTTGTGTGTACTTTTTGTCAAGAGGTAAAAAGTGTCAATGCTTCATTCCAGTCTTCATTGTTTTGCAACAGCCATTATAGTAATAACTTCAGCCTCAACCAGCCATAGAAGTTACAATGCAGCTTTGTCCACAGCAGGGAACAAGAAAGATTGTAGCAAAGCTGAACAGAAACCCAGACCTAGATTCAGCATGAGAAACACACAAATACAGAGGTGTACATTCGCCCACTGGCTTTCAGAAAGGAGCCCTTAATAATGCAACTGACACCATCACAGCTGCTTTTTAAGAAGGGAGCAAGCTGCCTAATTTTTGCATTTTATACGTCAGTAACTTTTTCACACCTGAATCGAAGAATCAAACTGCAAACTTCGGGATTTTTTCTTCAATTTAGCAATTCCAGTTCAGTTTTGCGAACTGTCCTTATGACTGCCCTACACTGTGCTGCAAATTTTATGTAAAATCAATTCATGTTGATGACAGCCAATGTACCCATAACCAGGTCAGTTATTAAAGACTACGAACAAATACACAGCTCTTCAGGAAAACATAAGAGTAACTGTGCCTTACAAAAATAAGGCAATTATCTCTTTTCAAAGGGTTGAGATTAAGGATTAGAATTTTTGAAAAATATTACAGGGGCACAAGGGAAATCGTCAGCATTTGAGCAATTTGGAAGAGGTACTCCTAGGCAAATGATGGGAGAACAAGAGGGGTTGGAAGAGAAAGCCTCTGTAGCACAGAAAGCTCCGTTTAAACCACAGAACTACCCAAGGAAGAAGGAATTTGTCAGCAGTGAATCAGAAAAGTTTCCAAGATTTGAAGGTAATGCCAAACACAGGATGTCTTAGGTGATTCTTCAGAGTAAAGAGTAACTGACTTAGGATCCACTTGAAAATTCTGCAAGACTACTGGCTTTCACTGTCAAAGAGTGCACACAGCAAACTCTCCTCTTCATCAGTAGTCATTTCATAACCAGAGTCAATTCACAACACAAAAACGCCCAGCATCAGATAAAGCATTCAGGGTTGTACAGAGAATGGTTTTAAAAACCACAGTTCAGATTTCATGACTAAACCCTAGCTTTTTGCAACTGACATATAAACCAATTAAATACAGTAACTACAAAAAGTTCATATGGTGACCATAAATTTTTAGTTGTTTTCAAGATATCATCTAATGAATTTGGAATTTAGTAATTTCTATCTTTTATTACATAATGCCTAGAGTCTTAATCACCACAGGCACTTCATGAGTAATTATGGCACAAGAGCGGAAGCTGTCTGCTTTTGGTTTTGTGGGGGTTTGTTTGTTTCCTTTTTTTTTTTTATGGACTGCACTTACTCAATACCAAATACCTACCAGCTACACATATTGTTGCTACAGTTACCACAACAAATGATAGCTGTACACTGTGCAAACATAAAACACAAATAAAACTTCAGACATTTCTGTGATTATTTTCACCAATAATCTGAAAAAGTGCAAGTTTCTTTGGACAGAATGGTCCATAAAAGGTTTCAGCTGCCATTTAAATAATATATTTGCTAATGACTGTATTTTAAAAACATCTACTTTCACCAGATACTTTCTATAACTGCCCATCAAATATATCATTAAGGTTAAAATGTTTTCGGTGTTCTGCTTCCATGAACAAATAGTACAAATTTGGCAATACAAAATAAGTTTTAAGTGTGTTTGGCTGACTGTTACCCTCTTTGGACGAACAAATAAAAAATACATTACAAGCTGTAAATGCATGGAACATTACAGGCAGACTTCCCTGAATGATGAAAATAATTGTACAATTGATTATTTAGATCTGCTTGGTATCTTTTAAGAGAAACAAATATCCCAATTACCTACTCTTTCATGATTTCAGGGTTTGGTTCACAATCAGAAAATCATGTTTGTGACAAATGTAACTACAGTAAGTGCCTTGCTTCTTAAGATGTACTTAATGTGAAAATAACTCTTTCTTATTACATGATAAAAAAAAAGTGACTTGGTTATTTTGACTTATTAGGTATCTTTGACTTGCTTTAATTATGCTTGGACTTCAGTCTGACAGTATTTTAAAAGGGCTGATATACAGACACTAAACAATGTCCAGTGCTGAAATATGTAACTGTTCACTAGCAGAAAAGCGCTTGCTTGCCAACTAATTCAAAGACATCACCTTCAGATGGGTTACAGCCCAGCACAGACTCCATTTTATATTCAAGACATTTTGTAAGATTTTCCCTATCATAGTAGTAGCTTTTTGTTTTCTTTTTCCAAAGAACACAGTGCCGGTTTGCACAACAAAAATACACCATTAAAGCTCTCAAGCAATGAATAAAACTGAAAATAAATCAGTATCGTCTTTTAAGAAGCATCATTTGTCAACTCTTTTTCAACTACTTTGACTGTCAGATGAGGTAGAACCCAATTAATGCTCGTTACCCATGCCAATTTAATCTCTGAACAGTAACAGTAAAGTTATTTCAGAAAATTAATAATTTAAACCTAAGTCAAGAAAGAGATAGTTAGCATTCTTTTATTGTTAAAATAAAAAGCTGTTCATCTTACAGTTACCTGGCAGAAGGAAATCAGCATGAGGTCGAGATCCAGCATGCTGAGGAAGACTTTAAAGAACCACAGTGTTCAATATGCCTTTGTTATGAGAATGTATCTGCTTACATCTTCATTTTTAAGCATGTGTTAGCCCCGTTGATTAATATGTTAAACTATAATTCTTATTTAATATTTATTTCATTAAAAATTCAATAAATTTTTTTCTGAAATGCATAGGCCACCTTGTGATACTTAATTGCAGGCTATGAATGTTTCAAAGAAATCCAAGTGCAGCGGACAGTCTACGACAGGTATTTGTTTCTAACATGTTTGTACACATTAGCAGAACCCTCTTTTAAACACTTTTTTTAAACCATTGTCCTTGATGTGAAACCTATCAACATCGCTCAGTAAAAGAAACTCCCTCTCCAGAATGGAGAAAGACAATTTTGGGATTGTGCAAAACTCATTATGAGATGGTTAGTGGAAGGACCAAAGATGAGGAAAAGGAGGAATTACGATGGATTAAGCAGGAAGATGTGTGGGAAAGCAGAGGGAAAAGGGGAAAAAGGGAATGGTGAAGCGTAGACAGGTGGCTGGTCAGTACACTTCTCTGACTGAACCCTGCACTTGATCACCACAATCTAGAATATATTTTTAATCAATCCTATCTTTACCTTCTTTGCGTGTATGTGCTTCCTACTCTGCATATGTGTGTGAATGCTAAAAAACTTTAAGCTGGATGAATCAATAAGTAGGATAAGAGGTCTGTGTGCCAGCCACTGGAGTGGAAACACTAACCATGGGAGCTCATGGGTCCAGATGCCACCAGCTCTGGGAGACTGGCATCTGGGGGGCAGCTGGCAGAGAAACTGTGCATCTAGGGCCTGCTACTGGACAGAACTCTATTCTGTGTGCATCTATTTCATTAGTGGGCTTCATTTCTGATCAGCAGCAGAGCAGGAACAGGTTTGGGCCATATGTGCTGTTCATGATTGTGTTAATGCTATGTGTGTTTATGGGGGTGCCAATAATAGCACTAATTTCTGTCTGTGTTGATCAGTGTGGCTGGCCATGTTAGCAGCATGTGGCTACGGGGAATACATCCAGTGATTACTGGTTTTGTTCGCTACTAATTCAGACATCAACAACTATTTTGATAAAACTGGTTTTATGCAACTTTTACAGCTAGGTTTGTGGTAGGAGGGAGGACCATACAGTGAACACCTGATCAATACACAAAAGAACCACTTATCTCAGAAGATAAGTCAACAACAACAACAACAACAAAGTAAAATATTTTATTGCATCCCTGTTCCCTGCAGAGGAGGTTAAAAGTCTAAGCTGAGTACCTTCTTCACAGGCAATGTGTTAGAGAACCTGCCTCAGAAGCAGCTCTTGGACAGACAAATGCTAACAACACTGCAAGACCAGAAACATTCACCAAAAAACATCGAATGAACTCAGGTGTGAAATACTTGCTAATATAAGCAAACTTATTTATAACCTCTTGCTTTAAACTGCCCCAGGGTTTGGATACCAATGCAAGTGGCTAAAATACATACATTTTTTTAAAAGGGTTCTGTGGATAATAAAGATAGGTAAGCTTCATTTTGTGCAACACGAATGTCGTAGAAGTATAAAAGTTTGCACCAGTGGACACATACCTAAATATGATACATTGGGGGAAGGAATCACAGTTTTTGTGCAAGTCACAAAACAAATCTTTTAGTATTATCTGAAGGAATCCATAAGCATGTGGACAACAGAAAATCAGGTTGATACATTTCAGTATTCGACAGACATTTAATAGCTCTTTAACATAGGCTTTTAAGAAAAAAGGATAAATAACTGTGAAACAGAATAAACGGACAATGAAGGGAGGTCACTGGAGGAGTCTCCATGATCTATGCAGTGGCTGTTCTGTTCAACATACTTATATGTGATCCAAAAAACAAATGCAAGTATTTACATAACAAAGTCTATCAATAACATTAAGGTACAAAGGACCAAATAATGAAGAACTGCAAGAAAATGTTACAATAGACAGCTCTGTGAAAGCATGACCTCAATAGAATGAGTAGCCAAAAAAAGATAATGTTCAGAATAATTATGAAAGGAAAATCATTTTGCTATTACATACACTTGATTGGGCACTTGATTGTGAGTGGTGCATGAAGTTCCAGTTCCCATTTCAAAAGAAAATGTAAGAACTAGAAAAAGGTACACAGTAGCATAATAAATATGATCAAAAAGCATACAACCTTCCTTTCATATAAGGAATGATTAAACAGAATAGAAACTGCCTTGGAGAAAAACCCAGAAAGCTGAGAGGAGTATGACAGAGGTCTGAAAGAGGAGGCAAATACACAACTATCATTCATCAGCTTTTTCAGTACAAGAACTAGGATGAATCTCATGAACTAAGAGGAACCAGATGAAACAAACTATCAAGGTTCAAATTAAAAGAAATCCCTTGCAAACTGCCAAAAAAAAAAAAAAAAAAAAAAAAAAAAAAAGGGTTTTGGGCACACATATCTTAACATGTGGAACTTCCTGCCAGAGGTTATAGCGCATGAGGAAAGTTTCTGACTTTTTTTTTAACCCATATTTAAAATCCATGAAAACCAAAAAAAAAAAAAAAAAAAAAAAAGGGTTTTGGGCACACATATCTTAACATGTGGAACTTCCTGCCAGAGGTTATAGCGCATGAGGAAAGTTTCTGACTTTTTTTTTAACCCATATTTAAAATCCATGGAAGAAAAAAACCCAACCCAACGAAAACCAAGAACTCCAAAACCATTTGGGGCTAGTAAAGAAACCACCCCCTGCTCAAGAGGTCTGTGGTTTGAAGTACAGAACAGATCCTGGTAGAATATTCATGGAAAGTATGATTAAATCCTCTGCCTTTTCTCATACTCTTCCCCAGACACCTCTGTTGGTCACTGGATATCCAATGCTGTTAAAAGTAGACTGAGAGTACCCGCAAAGTTGGAATCCAGGAAATGGGCAGCTGTTTATAGTTAGTTATACTGCGCTTAAACCTCAGAACTACAGCATGCTTAACGCAGATCAGTTTGTTTTGCTGTTGTTGCTTCATCCCTGCTGCCTACTGGCTCCCCTCAGAACTTTTTCCCTCCTCAGTCCTCAGAGCTCCCACCAGCAAGTTCTACCAGAAAGGAAGCTACCTCTTATCAAGTACCATAATATACGAGGGATGTGAGGCAAGTCAGTGACCTTTTGGTTGAAAAATGGTGTACTAAGAACACGCTTCACACAGGACTTTCATTGGTTGAGACAGACACAGTTCAGTATTGATATAAATAATGGAACCCTCCAGCATATATAAGAATTAAACAAGAATTATATATAGGGATGAAAACATTAAAACTTTTGTATTTTCTGATAAACTCTGCATTCAGATCCTTTGGGTCTTCATATGTCCCTCAAAATTCATTACTTAAGGAACAGGTGCTGTATAAAGATATAATTACTGTTCTAATACTTACTTTTTCTTTGTCCTCCAACAATGCATGATTTTTGGAGGTCAACACAACGCATTTCCATGCAGTTTTCTAGCAATCCACTGTGTCCACAGGTACAAATCTTGTAACACCCAACATCACCAGCTGAGGATGGAACCTGAATCAGTGTACCTTGACGGACAATAAAATCTGAGGCTTCTCCCAGTTTGCAACCTATATATAAGGAGAAATTTTAGCTCATATTTAGTAAATACTTCGGCAAGTGTCACTACCATAAAAACCTACAACTCTTCGACTTGTGAAAAAGCTAAGGTGTTCCTAAAACAACCTTGCTCTTGCCCTTTAGACAGATTCACTCATTTCCTAGAGGCAGCAAGTAGCATAAATAGAAGATATGTGCTTGAGACAATGTTCTGAAGTACCTGTAGAAATTTCACTTCAGAGAAAGAGCTGGTAATTCCAACAATTCTCAAGTAATCTCATTTTCCACAGTTCTGTAGTAGTATGAAACACATGTGATCTAACAAATACCACATACGCTTCACTCTCTCCAATACACAAACTGAATTAAAGGGTCTCACAAGCCAACCCAGTCATTTCCTCTCTCTCACATATTTTGTTGTGTCTTCCTTTCCTACTTATGTGAACACTGAAGGACTCTTATAGGTAGACGTGAAGAGAGGAGAAAGGGAGAAAAAGCAGGAAAACTGGATTTAAAAAAAAAAAAGAATGGAAAAGAAGAAAAATGGTTTTAAAAATTGCAAGGAAACAATAATAAAAGAAATAGTAATTAAAATTACCCTAAAAGTGATGAACTGCAACAAATCTCCCGAAATTTGCAACCAATAAAAAGACTGAATTCAAACATAAAAGTCACCTTCCAACCTTTACAGGAGGTAAACTGTCTCTTCAAAAGCTCTGGGTGAGCTTGTTTTCAGATCACTTTGAATGACTTTTGCAGCAAGTGAAGACAATACAACCTCTATAGTAATAATGCTCAGCTTTTCAGAAAAACAAAAATATTTTGCAAGGGTCATAGAAACGTAACCAAAACAATGACCCTAGGCTCGCAAAAAGAATGAGCTGAAGTCTATCCTCACTTTTAGAAGAGCACAAGTGTAGCAGATGTATGAGTGAAGCCAAACTCAGTTTTCCTCTTTGTAATTAAAAATCACTGGAGAAACTGCTGATCAGCCACAGAACTGCTGGAACAAAAGAGCCTCAGGGAACTGATGTGAGACAGTTGTGGCAATGTTCCCTATCACTTCCTCTAGAAAGGAGGCTGCTCCATGCAATTCAGTTTAAAAAACAGCATTGCTCTCACTCAATTCAGTCTCTCTCAACATATGCGTTCAAGCAGTCACCAAATGCAAGCTTTCCTCTTTGCTTCAAGAACCACAGGTGATCCTTCAAGTCACTGAATGATACCTTTTCCTTTAAAGGAAGGGGAAAAATTGTGGCAAGCACTACTGGTGTCTAAGGCAGAACAATTGAAGGGGGCTGTAGAAGCTGGACATCATAGTCTCTCACCTCCTTTTGTAGATTTGACCCTTGTTATCAACACCATCCAAGCCTGCCGTTTCAAAGTTAGATAGCTGAAATTCATTCTACGTGAGGCTCTCTCCCCAGTCAGCTCACATTTACTTATGGTGCAGAAGTTAGACAACACCTATGTTCTAAAAAACCCATTCCCAAATGACCATGAATGCCTTTGTAGTGAGGTGCACCTACATTAAAAGTATCACTCAATGGAGCAGCAGCAGAAATGCAGTCAGCTGTGTACTGCTGCATCTCCAGACATCATCTTTAATGAGAAATGGTACCATGGGTCCCGTGGAAGGACAAGGCAGCACAAGGTCCATTATTCATATTTTTGTTGTTCCCCAAAGTCAGCGTCTTTTTCCTCCAAACTACAAGTCTACATACAGATTTGGGAGAGACACAGAGCTAATCCGCCCTTGCGGTTCTGCCTTTTTCTCCAGTCAATGAACTCATAGCACCGTCAGTCCTTAAAGATGAAATGCAGAGATGCTGCATCAGTGCTGCAAGCTCAAGTAGTAGAGAGAAGAAAGAAGAGTCAAATTATGTGCCATGTCACTTTCTTCCCAAGCCCTAAACCTGGGTGGGCACTCTGAATCCAGTGAAGCAGCAACAGTGAAGCTCTTAAGAAAAAGTTTGTGTATTAATTCACTCAGACTGGAACTAGTTACCCGTGAGCTGCTGGAGAGATTTTGAGAAGTTGACCTGTGAAGAAGGATTTGGGACAATTCCATATAAGATACCATCTTGAATTTTAATACAACACTGGAATTGCTGCCAATGGAAATGTACGTCCCAGGGCACCCTGCATTTGATCAGATTCTCAGAGCTCTCAAAATGTCCTTCAAAGACCAACAGCCTGATTTTCGTTAATTTCAAGGCAAGACATAATGTCCATTTATTTCACCAGTAAGGAAAATAATGCGGATATGGCTAATAATGTATGGAAATACAGGGCAATGCATGTCAAGTGTCTGCAGAAGCAGTGAGCTTCACTGTATTTGCAGTATCGCACGCTTGTAATTTTAAATAGCAGGCAGGCTGCTTAGAGACTATGTGTGAACATTTATTTCTTCTGAGGCAAAATAAGTAATATACCTTCTAATAAGACGCTGTGTTTCAGTGGACAGTAAAAATAGAACCACATGGAGAAACGGAAAGAGCTAGAAGGTAGGCTACAGCTTTTGAAAACAAAAGATAATTGCGATAATAGTTCTTTTGGGATATCAGCAATTCACTTTAAAAGGTTCAACAAAATTTCAGTAACATACTGAAGTTTATCAGCAAAATTCAGGTAAACAGAAGTCCAAAAGCCCTTACCTGGCACACACAAATATGGAAGACACAGTTCTCCAGACTGACATCCTTTTCTATTTACTTCACATAACTGATTAGCTGCACATGGATTTGGATTACATGGATGTGTAACATCTTCTACAATGTTACCTAAAGAACTTGGGCCTGCAAAGAGAATATACAGCATCTATATTGATTTAAATGAGGTTTATTTTTCTTGAGTGAAGCATGGCATTTCTTACATTCAGTAAAATCATGTTTTTGGCAATTCTGCAAAATATTTTTTATTTTTTTAACTACAGAAGTAGAAGCTTGACATGACAAAGTAGTTAACTTATTTCAAAAGTTTAGTCCTCAGTCCTGGAAATAATGACCCAGATGATTCTTCACAAGCAGAATATATTTCCTCTACCTTGTTTCCCCAAAAATTTTCTCCATATGACAAAAATACAAACTGACGATGACTGGCAGCTTAATCAAGAGAAGTCCCATAGTCAATGATTAACAAACGGGAGGTTTAAAGTACATTTGATGTTTAACGAAGTTGGCTATCATTGATAAACTTTTGTTTTTGTTTTTTTCTTTAACTCACTAGTAATGTTCTCCTGTTACAAGATTAACGAAATGGAAGAAAACACGGAAAAGCAGCAGCTAAATGGAAAGAAGCACCCAAAGCTTCAATACATTGTCTTTCTGGGAACAACTTATTTGTTGAGGCATACTTTCAGTTGCAGCTCTTACTGACTAAAATTTTACTATTTTCAAAGTTCCTGGGATTCTGAGAAAGAAATACCAAAATTTAATTTAGAAAAAGGTCTAAACCAGATAAATCCTATAAAGCTAAAAAGGTCTAAATCTTACAGAGATAAATATGCAAGAGGAAGTAGTAACAGGGTAGAGCAGATTTGGAAAATAATGTAAGAAGACATACTTAAATGAAATCTAGAACTACGATGAAATTTTACTAATACAGTTGTGTTCCACACTGAGGGATAAGACATGCTAAAAGAAAATAGAATCATAAAAACTTCATTCTTCCACATACCTCCTAAGCTCATGTTCTATTGCCCCAAGGGTTAATTTGGTTTTTGGTTATTTTAATTGCACAGTTAAAGAACAGAGTTTATGCATCAGGCAAAAGTGTAATTTTGTACATCAATAAGTTGTACTCTAAATCATGCTATTGTTTAAGTGACATTTATTTGAGATCGGTCCTCCCAAGCATGATCCAGCTTTTGTCCTGTAAATAGTGCTAGTGGTTTTATTATTATAGTACTTCTTTGGCATATAAGATGACTTCTTGAAGAACAGAGTTTTCTTAAAGTAAGATTAACTAGTCTATTTTCAAGTAGGTAAAAATCATTGGGTAACAGCCAAACTTCCACCCAGTCCCCCCACCCCAAACAGGATGGGGACAGAAAATAGGTAGAACAGGAACAGAAAAGCTCATGGGTTGAGATGAAGACAGGGAGATTGTGTAAGAATTACCATCATGGGCAAAACTGACTTGACTTGGGGAAAATTAACTAAATTTATTGCCAATTAAAATAAGTATCTAATTACAGATTCAGGTAACGGGAACAAAAAGGGAAGTATTAAAGCAACTTCTTTCTTCCTCCCTTTCCCAGGCTCACCTTCACTCCAGATTTCCCTGCCCCAAGTGATGCAGTGGGGATTGGGAAGTGGGGGATGATGGTGACTATGGTCAACACGCAGCAGTTTCTCTCTGCCACTCATTCCTTGTCACATCTTTCCTCTGCTCCAGCACGGGCTCTCCACGGGCTGCAGCCTCCTTCAGGGTATACCCCCCTGCTGTGGCATGGGGTCCTCCACAGGCTCCCTTGTGCATATCTGCTCTGCCATGGAGCCCCTCCTCTCCTCCTGCTCCTCTGATCTTGCTGCTACCTCTGTTGTTTCTCACTCTTCCTGTTCGCTTCTCCTCCACCCGTCTGGCACTTTTTGCCCTTTCTTAAATATGTTTTCACAGAGGCACCACAAACTTTGCTAAGTGGCTCAGCTTTGGCCTATAATGGGCCCACTACCAAGCTGGCTGTGTCTGGCACAGTGCAGTCCCTGACACCTTCCCATACAGCCCCTGCAGCCTCCACTGCTACCAAAGCAACCTTGCCATATACAGCCAATACAAGAAGGAATAAATGTAATGAGCTATGGCAATTTGAAAAATCCAATTTTCTCTAATACGCTACATAAAATGTCTCAAATTCAATACAATTTTCTTTAAAAGAAATAATGAAAGTTACTAAAAGCAATGATAAGCACTCAAAGTATCTTGGTTTCTAATTTTGTTGCATAGGTATGTTGATACTTACTCAGGTACGTATCCAAAGGGATACAGTTCTCCAAGTCATCTGTTGGAGATAAGAGCTCACAAATACTTTCAGCTGAGTGGCCTTCAGGGAATTTATTATGATCTCCACATTTCTTCAGTATTTCCACACAATCTGATCTTCAGATAAATATAGAAACAGAAGTTCAAGAACACTACTTGAAGAAAAAATGTCTTGTATGAAAAAGATTTCTTTCCACATTCTTCCCTTCCCTGAATCCACAACTTTCCCCTTCTGCCTCACCATAGAGTGTTCATATATATATATATATATTTTATATATATATATATATTTTATTTATATATATATATGCAAATGCTACATTTTACATACAGGGGGAGGAACAAATTTGTGACACAAAGAAAGGAACTATCGCTTATACTACTCTTTCTCTATTTTGGGCCTGGTGATCTTTATTTTCTATGGCACCATATGCATGTATCTTTCAAGACCAAGCAGTTCCTTGATTTACTAATGTCTAATATGGGTTGAACTCTGTCTCACTACCTGTACTATTAACTGGTCTCTTCTCTACCCAATCACCTACTTTCAAAATATATTTTTTTTAAAAATAAACTTCAATTTTTTTCAGACCTTTCTGTCAGCTGAAAATCACCAGTAGGTCCCAAAACCGAAAAAGAGGAAAGGTTTTATAGACACCGTAGAGAGCCAAAAAAACCTGAACAATAAATCAGGTTTACAATGGAAGCATATACATCCATCTCATTAACAGGCAAGCATCTTTCATTTACAGTGAAGGAGATTCAAGCAACGGCAACTTCGTAAGCTCGTATTCCTTCTGTGTTTGCCTTGCCATGTTTTTCTAATGTAAGTCACAGTCCTACAACAGCTTTTTAGTTCTCATTAAAATCCTTAGCATAACCTCTAAACTGTGTTTTTTCCCCCCACAGTACTTACTTGCAGATAATACTTCCTCTAGATTTGCTGTGGCAAGGTTTAATTTGCAGTGAGCAGGCAATTGCCTTCCACATTTCTGGTTGGCATTTTTTAATATCAAGCACAGGAATATTTATAAATGGCATCTTAATACTCCCTTTTTCCCATAGCTTCATGTCATTCATGGCTCCCTGGTCTGACTGAGTATTGCAGCTCCTAAAAAGTTCTGTTGGTCTTAAAAGAAGAAGTTAAGATATGGCATGTATACGAGAAAAAGAAAACATCATACATTTTACTTTTTACCATACGAATTCTACAACCTTAATACGGCTTGCTTTTTGTGGTATATAAGAAATTAATCCCTTCCACAGTTAAGCAAGATCAAAATCAATTTGAATTCTGTCTTTAAGAAAAATAAGCTCTTTAAAACTCAAGGCTGAAACTCCCTTCTCATCTCTACCTCTTAGATCAAATATCACTTAAATTTTTCTTACCTGAAGAAAGTTGACTTAAAAGCAAACATCTTGATATCCTGAATATCTGTCTGAGTGTCTCCTGGTGAATCACTAATGCAAACTGATTTATCATTTGTATTTGCCCAGGTTGCATCTATCACATATGTGATTCTGCTACTCATATAACACTCATGCCACTGTATACTATTTCAAAGAAAAGCCAGAGATCTCTAATAGCTAACAAAATTTTACATGCTTTTTCTGAAGCTCGAACTATTTAATCATAACCTTGCAATTACTATAATGCATTTTGCCCTGTAGAGTATAAAACCACAGAAATATCTCTGAAAGAAAAGGAATTCTGAAAAAGAGTAACATGTAAATTTAACAAGAATTTTTACCTTATTTATAATACACAAGATTCCAGTAATCATGGCTTACTTGTCTATACAGTAACAGAGAGGAATATGCTGCTAATACATGATGACATTTTACAAGTTCATGGGTTAGCTTTTATACTTGTAAGTTTTGTTATGGCTGTTGTTAAACACATTTCCAAAAGTTTATCCTAGAGAAAAACTATTTATTTTTAAATTATCTAAAAAAATATTTGCAGAAAGACAGCTACATACAATCGCAAAATAAGCCTGAAAAACATTTTATTTTATTTTTTAAATCAAAGCACAGCAATTCCTTTATAAAATATTCAGTGTCTCTCTCCTACCTGTTATTAAAATTAGTGCAGTAAGTAAGATTTCTACAGCCCAGCTGACAAGGTTCTCGTACATCTGCTAAACAGGTCAACATGGAAACTTCAACTGCATTATACTCACAAAAGCGATCAAATTCTTGCCAGCTCTGTGAATTGCCCCAGCTCGTGCTATAAAGTTTAGTGCAGAGCTCTCTGAAAAAAAATATAGATGAAGAAAAAATTAAAAGAACAGCAGTTGTTCAGATATAGCAGAGCATATAGTTTCTTTGCTAACCACAACAGCCTGCACTCACTGTAGAAGATTGTGTCAATGCCCACAAAGTCTGCAAGAGTATCCAAATGTTGTGCTCAAAGCAAATAACCCCAATTTACTGTTTTCTAAGTTTTCCAGTTTTGCTTAAGAATGCTAGCAAATCTTTAAAGCTAGTGTCTTGGTTTCAACTGGGATAGAGTTAATTTTCTTCCTAGTAGCTGGTAAAGTGCTGTGTTTTGGATTTAGTATGAGAATAATGTTGATAACACACTGATGTTTTTGTTGTTGCTGAGCAGTGCTTACACTAAGTCAAGGACTTTTCAGCTTCTCATACTGCCCTGCCAGCACAGAGGCTGGAGATGCACAAGAAACTGGGAGGGGGCACAGCCAGGACAGCTGACCCAAACTGGCCAAAGGGATATTCCATACCATATGACGTCATGCCAAACAAAAAACTGGGGGGACCTGGCCAGGGGGGCATGGCTGCTGCTGAGGAACTGGGTGGGCATTGGTCAGCGGGTGGTGAGCAACTGTTTTGTGCATCACTTGTTTTGTATATTCTTTTATCATTATTTTCCCTTCCTTTTCTGTCCTATTAAATTGTCCTCATCTCAACTCGTGAGTTTTACCTTTTTTCCAATTCTCTCCCCCATCCCACTGCGGGGGCAGTGAGCAAATGGCTGTATGGTGTTTAGCTGCCTGCCGGGTTAAAACACGACAGCTAGTAAGACTGAAAGACTTCAGAATATAATACTGCAATATCCAATAAAAATATAATAGCTGGAAACCCAAACTAATGACTTTGAAGTGAGAACTATCCCAGCTAATTTTACTTGTAATAAATCAAGGTTGACAGGGTAGTGAACAACTTCAAATCCCATCCTTCAACTTCACACCTTCTCCTCCTACAGAAATGATCGGTAAGCAAAATACATTTCTTCTTTTGCCCTGATGTTTGAAACAGGTATACTGTTTGTTTCTTGTGTTTGAGATGTTTCCTGGTGTCAGCAATACCCAAGCCATTTTGTTCACAGCAATATCCTACAAACTACAACTGTTCCTATCCCAACTGAAGGTATGGAACTTCACTGTACTATTAAAGTCTACCACATATTGAAAATGTGAGGGAAGGATGCATTTTTAGAACTCATCGTCAAAGCAAGCAACTAAAAGGTATTATATCAACTGCCCTACGCTACAATATTCTAAGAAATAACGTTAACTCCAAGGGTCTACTACTAAACTCGTTATAAGATCCTGCTGCATTCAGGATCTGTTGTTTTGTTACTGGAAACTTTGATATAAAAGGAAGTAACAGCTCAAAAATCAATGTTTGCAACTTATTTTGACATATCGACGTATTCAAAATGCAATAATGATCTACTTTTAGCGTGGACAGATAACCACTCTAAACTAAAAATGCTCCAATTACAGTTATTTGAAAGTGTGCAACTATTTGCTGAAAACCTTTTTTTTTTTTTTTTTAATGTCGGAATAGTTAGTTCCGTTATTTAATTATTGAATTAACCTAAGTTATTTTTCATTGACAAAAATCTGAATAGCATTTAGTAAGGAATACTGCTAAGGTTTTAACATGCAGCAACCAGGTACTTGAGAGTTTGTGCAGTTCATTGTCCTCTTGGCTCTCTTTAGCATCTGGTTAAGGCCTCTTCATCTTGTTGCAATATTGGCTATTATGACCACAAGTAAGGTATAGGTTTCATTAACTTAGTGTGTCTGCTGTAAGAAGCCAGTGCTAAAAGTGAGAAAAGTGTGATTCCTCTTATGGAACAGTATTTTTTGAGAAACAAAGTAAGTATTGTACAGAATGTGACACCCATCTGATTATCTAAACCTGTATTTTTTTCTAAGAATTCACAGAACTCTTTATTTGATGTACACAGCAGGATTCGGGCAAAGGCCTGATCTGAGACAACTTCTGAGGCATTTTCACAATTGGAAATGAGGGTAGAGAGATACTGACCTACATGTGGAAGAATTTGCTTTAGAACAGCAATGGAGCTTAGCTCCATCGAGGCCTGTTGAAGGTGGAGGGTGCACAGTGACTCCTGGGTGAACAGATCTTGAACTCTCAAGAAAACATTGCCAAAGTGGATCCTGAGGGAGAGGCATTGTTTTACAGCCTTCTATAAGTCCATCAACAATTTCAAGCTCTGTTTTCATTGACATTAGAATTCTTTTACAAGCAGTCTGACACGCATAGTCTTCTGCTCTATCACAGCAATACAAACCTGTTAAAAAAAATAGTTAATGAGCAGGCATACAACAACCACCAAGATGCATGACGTAATAGACCTCAGAGATAAAGTGCTATGAGGGGGCTTTTTTCCCCACCAAATAATTTCAAATAACATTACTTCTTTTAAATGCAAACAGAATTTACTCTGCAAAAAAACCACCAATATGCAGAATCAAAAAAATAAATAAAAATCAATAAGGCACCTACAAACAAAAGTTATCATTATATAAATTCATATAATTACAATTATAATATAGAAATACATTAATACAATTTATACAATAGACTTATACAATAACATATTTTATATAAAAAGTGCATACAATCCTCAAACATTTTCAGTATTTTTTATAACTTTCAGTAAAGAAGGATTTTTTTATACTTACTATCTGTAGGATTTCTCATTGGATATGACTGTGTATAATTGTTCACACAGTGTATAAGCTGAGGGCTAATAGATGCACAGTAATTTTCAACTGCTTTAATTTGTGAAGGACCAGGAGAAGAGTCTGTCCGAAAAATTGCTTGACAATATTCCCGACAGTTTGTATGATGACCTGCATAACTGCAACAGACTGACCCCACTGGGGAAACAAACAAACAAACAACAGAAAATCTATGGGTTCCTACACAGAGAAATGAAGAAATGAGCATGTCTGTACCACACACAATGATGCTCAAGGTATTACTCTGAGAAAAAAAATGAATAAATTCTTCTATGTTCTATTAAAATAATCTCTGTCTACAGCATGACTGGGAATATCTGTAACTAGCCAAATTGCATTTGTTTGTTTGGCTGGAGAAAAAAGTCCCTAAAGCCGTCTTGCACTCAAGTTCAAGACACCAGTTGTTTTGTTCTTATTTAAGGTAACTGGACTTGTCCTATAATTGAATTATTAGACAAATATTAATAGTACACAAATAAATGAGAGTAGTATCCTAAAACTCACTCAAAAAATAGACAGATGGTATTGTGATTCACCCATTTTTGATATGTTATTAAATATACAGTTCTTGAGAAATACTTTTACTGGAATTAATTCTGAGACATTGATTTCATTTTATATAGACAGACATCAGGCAACAAAACACTTGCATGGCACAAGATTTCATCTATGCATTTCATTTTGTTACTTAACACTCATCAAATGAACAAAGCAGACGGAAAAAATGAGCTTCTAAGCAATCATCAAAATAGGACAGAAAAAACAAATACAGATACACAAATGAAAAACTGATATATGAACAGCCCAATCCCCTTATCACTTGAGCAGGAAAATTTATGCATGTGGTTTGTCCTTCTATGGAACTGAATTCATATGATTTGTGTATATGCACACCCACAAAATTTCTTACGTTTTAGAGAAAAAAGGATAGAATGATATAAAAGAAAAACAAAAAACCAAACTATTCATTACATACTTACTTTCATTTCTGTTAATACAACTAAAGAGAGCATTCTGAAATCAAAACAAAAATAGTGTTACAAGCCAGAAAACTTCAAATAAATATTTAAGTGTCCAGTCATTTCTTACAATGAGCTAATAAATGTAACTTTGTTATTATTTGTTCCAATTACATTGGATTAAAAGAAAAACACTATACAAACCCACTGAAAGTAGGAAATTAAAAGACCAGGGGTCACCTGAGTTCTGTGTGCACTTGTAATAAAATAGATAAATATTCAAGCAAGTAAACAGGAAGACTTTCCTGGACGAACTCCGAAACAGCATGCTATAATAGGATATCCCAAAATGTTGTGGGTTTGGTTTTTTTTAAAATGACAATTATTGTAAAGATTCTATGTAAAAAAAAGAACTCTGCACAGATGCACACACGCAAATAGAAAGTCTCAACAAACTAAGTCAACAACAATATACCTTAAAAGGTAAAGCATGCTATCAACTCCCTCAAACTGCAGCCAAAATGTACAGTTGGGGGATATGCAACGTCAAATGACAGAAGAAGGGAAACACATACACCCTGCTGTTTTGTTTCAGAGGACTCTCATCCACAGAGCAATCATAGCATCATAGAATCGCTTGGGTTGGAAGGAACCTTTAAAGATCATCTAGTCCAACCACCTTGCAATGCACAGGGACATGTTCAACTAGATCAGGTTGCTCAGAGCCCTGTCCAGCCTGACCATGAATGTTTCCAGGGATGGGGCACCTCTCTGGGCAACCTGTTCCAGTGTTTCATCACGCTCATCATAAAAAATTTGTTCCTTATATCTAGTCTGTATCTACCCTCTTTTAGTTTAAAACCGTTACCCCCTGTCCTATCACAACAGGCCCTCCTAAAAAGTCTGTTCCCATCTTTCTTATAAGCCCCCCTTTAAGTACTGAAAAGCTGCAATAAGGTCTCCCCGCAGTCTTCTCTTCTCCAGGCTGAACAACCCCAACTCTCTCAGCCTGATCTCACAGGAGAGGTGTTCCATCCCTCTGATGGACCCACTCTAACAGGCCCATGTCTTTCCTGGGCTGAGGACTCCAGAGCTGGATGCAGTGCTCCAGGTGGGGTCTCATCAGAGCAGAGCAGAGCAGAGGGGCAGAATCACCTCCCTCAAGACTACTGAACTCTTGCCCAAAACAACTATGGTTTTCCCCACACTGAAAAAGCACATTTCTTCTTAAAAAAATAGATACCACATATAAGCTTTCCAGAACTCTGTGAAAAGATGAAGTCCTGAGGTTGAAATTCCAAAATATAGTTGCCAATTATCAAAGACTTTAAAATTATATGATTGTGAAAAAGAGAAATTTGAACCCCCTCCACACCTGACCTCCACACTTGTCAGAACACCAGATTATAAAAAGTGATCAAAAAAGTGATCACATTAACATAGTGACAAAACATAATCCCCATCTTCATAAAGTTCCTGATCTCCTTAATTTCCCCTGTTCCCATCATTAAACAAATTTGTATTTTACACAGCATCTAGAAAAGAAAACAGAAACACCGTCACACTGATCCACAAACATATTATGGGTTTAAAATCTTGCTTCAATACAGCAAAATATCAGATGTGCTACTGCCTTTACACAAGAAAAAGAAGAGAACTCAAAATGCAGACCTAGCTTAAGCTCAGTAGTTCACTAGATTCTTCACCTATGTTAGTTACTAGTATTTACTGCATTGCAGAGAAGTGGGTATCCCCAATAATCTTTGGGGTATTTTTGTGAAAATTTGTACTGCTGCAAACAGATGGAAGCGTTACATTTTTAAAGTGAAGAAAATACAAATCTGTCAGGAATCATCTTGACTTTTTTAGTTTTCTTTTTGTCTTAGACATTGTTTAGAGTGCAGGAGTTTGTTTTTCAATTCATATTCTCTACTTGCTTTCTTCTCAGAGATCATTTTAGTCAATTAATCTGTTTTTGCAGCATCCTTATTTCCCCCCTACAGTCTAGGTAGGGTTACAGAGAAAAGCAAAGTAAATATCGAAGTGATCAAATCTCCCAGTGGCTAACTCATAAAAACACCAGCAACTACAACATCTGAATGCTGAGGATTTCCTCTCAAGCAGCATGCTCGCGTTCAGTTATGTTTAACAGGGAAGGGTAAATACAGAACCTATCTCTATTCACAGGAGCGGCACAAACAGGCAGTCTCATCTCTACTAGATGGCTATATAACCCACATCTCTGCACCCTTTCCCTTACGTAGTCACCTTCAAAGACATCTTAAATCCTGACACCAGAATCAGTAAATATTGCAGAGTCCCAACTTCTTATTTCATTGAAGTGCTACTCATTAAGCACATGTATTCCACTAGAGAACTGGAGAATTCTGCAATCCCAACTTTTCCTTTTTTAAAATTTTTTTTTCCTCATGGAAGTTTTGTAAGTACCCAAGTAAAAATGTGATTCTTTTTAAAATGTTGTTCTTCATTTTCATAGCTATCTTCATTCTCTTTTCTGTTGTTCGTTTAAGAGTAAGCACTCCAGAATACAGATTGGCTCTCTATGCGTGAATTAGCATTC